TTGTTCCTTTGGGGATGAAGTCAGAAATGAAAGTTGACATCAGGGTTCCTGCTATAGAACCAGGAAAGAAACTTATTTCCACAGTTGCCAGTGTGGTGCTCATACACAGCTTCTGATCCTACAGGAAGTTACGTCATGAATATCTTCCCTGTCTTCAACTCGTGTGTTCTAATTAATTAAATTTGCATTTGGAGGTATACATTACTCAGTCTTCTCCAACACAATTGATACCTTACTGTCTAAGTTCCCAGTCCTGATAATCAGACTTAATCACGATGCTATATTTGTGGATAGTTTTCTATTAAGAAATCAGACCAAAATAAAATAGTAATTCTGAAACAGTTGGTAGCCAAGGTAATAGATTTGTAATTTCAGTTACTCTTCTTTTAAGGTAGCCAAGTATACATTGCTGGGTTCTGATTACCACTTACAATGAAAAGGTCAATGTAGGAGAAGTCACCATGAAGAAGAACATATAAATTAAGGAAAGGAAATATATAGTCTTGAAAATATATGTCCTGGAGAGACGACTTGGGTTAAGGGAACCGGCAACTCCTCCAGAGGTACTGAGTTCAATTTCCTGCAACAGTACTTAGATTTTCAAATAGGTATGTTTGAGAACCTAGTGAAAGTTTCATTCAGAGTCAATATGTCCTTCATATTTTCCAGAAAACTGTTTCTATTTTCCATATTTTCACCCAAGTGTTATCATAGTATTCAAGAAAATACTTGAGTTGTCTAATTTGTATGTTGAACTTGAACTATAGAACTTTAGTAAACAAAATGCTCTTGAACTTGGCTACGAGTATAGGTTCAACGGCTTAAATTCAGATTGCATTTAAACCTAGTTTGGCTGGATAGGCGATGGGCGCACTGGTGAATGCCATCTTCCTCACAGTGCTGTGCTTCGCTATCTTACTGGAAGCTGTCCAGCACTCCATCAAGCCTTGTGAGATGCAGCAGCCACTCCTGATCCTGAGCTTCGGGTGTGGCTGGGCTGCTGGTCAATGTGCTGGGGTTCTGCCTGTTCCACCACCACAGAGGTGAGGGCCAGGGGACGGGCCATGGCCACTCGCCTAGCCAAGGTCATGCACAAGGAGGGTAGCACAGGTGTTCGGGGACAGGCGAGCACTCCGAGGGGCTGGGCACTGCACAAGGAGGAGACCAACAAGCTGGAGGCTGACACTAGTAATCCCAACTGGCTGAAGGCGGACCAGGCAGAGAAGTGAAGCAGAGTATTTACAGGACAATAACTCAATAATAAGGGGCAGAACCAGAAAAATTGAGAAGTGATAATCCAGTGGACGTACAAATAATTGGGAGTCTTATCCAGCAGTCTGACGGTCTGGAATCAGAAGACAACAAGGCTGGACTGCTGAACGTGCGAGAAGTGTTTCATTCTAAGAGATGCTTTGGGCTCTGTGACATGGTAGTGAATGCTTTTACTATTCCTGGAAGGGTTATACTGAAGATGACTTTTGTATGAGCCCATGGTGTTTTCCTAATGCCTGAAAATCGTCTATTAACAGCACCCAGGCCCCCTTGCATGAGGCTGGTCCGTGTTGGTGCTCTACTTAGATCCAACCTTTTGCATTATTATGGTTTGTATACTTCTTTATAGGACGTACACGTTGCTTAAGGAATCTGCTATCGTTCTTCTACAAACTGTTCCTAAGCAAATTGATATCAAACGTTTGGTAAAAGAGTTATGAGATGTTGAAGTAGTTGAGGAAATCCATGTGTTACAAGTCTGGCAGCTCCCCAGAAGCAGGATAATCTCCACTGCTCAAATAAAATGTCGAGACTCAGCTTCGTACATGCAGGTGGCCAAAACCACGAAAGATGTTTTTTCACAATCATAGAATCCACGCTACTGCCATCCAGCCTGAAATCACTACTGTAGACTCTAAATCAAGTGTAGTCCCATGTGACCTTGCCTGCAGAACTCATTGTGCTTTGAAGCAGTACTGTGGGACACCACCACAAGTCCATTCTGAAAAGGATGTAGAGAAAGCTCCAACAGTTAGCATTTCTTGTTTAGAATTCAGTGAAAATCTAGAGAAGAAGCCCAGGAGGACTAAAGCTAAAGGCAGTCTCCCTGCTGTGGCGACAGAGATTAAAAAACATGTCAAACAAACAACCCGAGTCATTTTTGTGAGTCTTGAAAAGTATGTGGTATCTAGCTTTGGCTTTTACAAAAGTTTTATAAGAAATAAAATGGTGTTTGCTTTTCTTTAAACAAACACAGGAAATTTCACAGAATGATTTATCAGCATCAAACTAAAATGCCACTTTATTGAATAATATGTTAAAACTACTACATTTTTTGAGACAATGTTTCTTTCTGTAGACCTGGCTGTCCAGTCTTGAACTCAGTCTGTTCTTGAACTCAGATTGGCCTACTTCTACTTTCTGAATGCTGTCATAGAGATCATTGAACTGTAGGTTTCCCCTCTTTAATTCTCTTTTAAATATTCCCATGATTTATATGATGACCATATTACCAACTGTTCTCTCTCTCTCTCTCTCTCTCTCTCTCTCTCTCTCTCTCTCTCGCTCGCTCGCTCGCTCGCTCGCTCTCGCTCTCGCTCTCGCTCTCGCTCTCGCTCTCGCTCTCGCTCTGGCTCTCGCTCTCGCTCTCGCTCTCTCTCTTGCTCTCTTCCTCCCCTTTCCTTTCACTCCCTCCCTCTGTGTAGTTTCTATGTCTTTATGCAGAATAAAGTTTTTTATCAGTAATTGCTAACTTTATTTTTCCCCTTTAATTAAACTCAGTAGGTCACATACTTAAAGGAGGCACAAGAATAGGAGGGAAACCTGTTGAAACCCTGGGTTTCAGTGAAACAGGGAGGAAAGAGGGAAATGGGGGGTAAAACCTACTAACACTAATTAGACAAATGTGTGAGACTGCCAACAATAAACAAATTAAAAAAATCTTAATGGCCTTGCCAATGTTTATTTTTTAATCACTGATTGTAAATGACTACTGTTTTCTTTCTTCAGAAGATGAAGTAAAAAACATTATTGAAATGCATATTTTTACAAACACAGGTTTAACTTACACTTCCAGATTCTTAAAATACCAGCTAAAATCATTTATTAGATACATTGATTATCTTGTATTTTTTATTGAAAATAGATATTTTTCATACAATATATTCTCAACAAGAGAACAGTTGATTATGGTTTCCCCTCCTCCAACTTTTTCCAGGTTCTCTGTGCCTCTCCACCCAACTAAGCCACTCAACTCATCCCATGGATAGTCTTTTTTCATTAGAAAATAAGTATATATCTAAGGTAATAGTAGATAATAAATATAATATATAATATAATATAATAGGCAAATGAATATGAATAGAACAAAACAAAGGAACAGAAACAAGAGACAAAGAAAAAGGAACCAGAAAAACTTATAGATACAGTAACATACACATTTATACACAGAAATCATATAAAGACACAAAAGCGGAGACCATCATATTTAACAAAAGACTGGTAGGATAAATAAATAAATAAACAAACGAACGAACAAACAAATGAACGAATGATAAAGAAATACCCAGACAAACCATTAGGAGACAAAACCCTCCAAAATTACCAGAATTTGTCTTGTGTTGGTCACCTACTGCTGGGCATGGGACCTGCCCTTAAGAGTGATTTGTATACTCTATTGGAGGAAACTAGTTTTTCCTTTTTAATTAGTGATGACTTCTGTGCTAGAACTGGTAGCATGTGCTTGCCCACCGCCACCCCCCAGGTGCTGGTGCTCATCTGGCTTAGACCTGTGCAGGCGCTGTGCATGCTACCACAGTCTCAGTGAACTCATATGCATGTGTCAGTCCTGTGTTCAGCCTTGTTTTCTTGGTGCTCTCTATCCTCTCTGGCTCTGAATACCTTTCTGCCTTCCTTCTGCAGAGTTCTCTGACCCCTGAGGGGTGTACATTGATGGAAATATTCCATTTATGACCAAATGTCTTAAGGTCGTTCATTCTCTGCACTCTATTTGGGTGTGGGTCTCAGTATTTCTTGCCATTTACTTCAGCGGGTAGACACTCTATATCTTATAAATTTTTCAATAATTATATTTTACAGTCTTGAAATCTCTCTCTGTCTCACTCTACACACACACACACACACACACACACACACATACAATCTTTATACTGGGGAGGGAAATTAAATATTGTGATATTCTATGGAGATATTCTAAAATTCTTCCAATTTTCATAATAAGAAAAAACCTTCAAAAATCACAATTTGATAAATTTGATTTTATTCAGTTTGTAAAGGCAAAATTTTAAACATGTGTTTGTAAGCCTACATCTCTCAGATAACCTCTCTTTAGAATGTTTTCCTATGCTATTACTTATTTCTCAGCACAGTCACCTTGGCTTTTTCCTCTTACAATTTTCTTGTTCATAGTGCCTTCTTATTTGACCGAGTATGTGCAGTTTGAAGTCTATATAAGAACCATGAAATTATTAAGTAGAAGTATAAGCCCTGGTTAAGAGATTATTGCTACCTCCAACTCATGTGAGGGAGGCTTCTAATAAAACAATGGAGAAAGGCAGGCACAATGGAACATCTTCCAAATTCTGGGTGAACTGCTCTCATCCAGAAACATTCTCATGTTTCTTTTCTATTTTCTCTATCCAACATTGAAATCTTTATCTGAAATCTGGGGGGGCCCTTGGTCCTGTGACAGCATGATACCCCAAAGAATGCTAGGGCAGTGGGGCAAGAGTGGGTGTAGGAGCACCCTCATAGAAGAAGGGAAAGGTGGATAGGATGGGAAGGTGTTGAATGGGAACTCAGAAGGAGGATAACATTTGAAATGTAAATAAATAAAGTAACTAATAAAAATATTTTAAAAAAGAAATCACAGGTTATCATAGTGCAATCTAAAATGTGGTAAGCATCCCACTTGACGCAAAGTAAAAAAAAATCCATTTTTATTAGTAATTAGTATAGTTCAATCATCTATTAGAGTTACAATTTATACTTTAAGTTGTATATTTGGGAGTATTGAAGAATCTCACCATTCTTTGATAATCTCGTGTAACACAGCAGGGCCCAGTGTTACAATAAATATATTCATACTCCAAATTGCTGCATGAAGATTTGCACGTACCATGGACCAGGAAACATTTGTGTGCTCTTTCTGCAACATTTCTTGTTTTCATCTGAGGAGCTAGAGGAAAACATCAATAACTATTAATCAAAGTTTGTTTCAGATACAAAGAGACATATGAATGAATGGGTGGATGGATGGATGGATGGATGGACGGATGAATGAAGGGATAGATGCGTTGCATAGAATTTCATAATTTTGTGTGTAAAATCATACCTAAATGACATTAATAAAACCTTTTCTCTTTCAAGATTACTTGATAAATAATATTTTCCTTTTCTCTTAGCATTTTCCTTTTCAATATTTTGAAATATTTAATTTGAATATAATCTCTCAAAGGAATAAAGACCTTGAGAAAAAGAGCTGACCTTTCTTTAGTTGAAATTAGCAGTACTTCTGCTCTATTATTAACAAAGACATTAACTTGTCAGTCAAGGAACTTAGATTTGAAAGAAAAATAGTATTCCTACTGATAAAGAACAGGTTCATCACATCATTTAACAAAGCCACCAGGTCTAATGCAGCATTTTTGCATTAACATTCTGATTATTTAACTTTTTGTATTACTCACTTCTTCTTTAACCAAACAATAAAGTGTATTTCCTCATATGTCATTCAAGAAAAGTCTCTTAAAAACAATATTTTTCACATAAGGCATTATGAGAACAATATTCCCTGTCACATTCATTCCATATTCCAAACATTACCAGAAGGACCACAGGACACAGAGAAGATAACAATCAGGATAATGCCAAACATCTTCATTGCTGATTGTATCCTTCAGGATAAAGCTCAAAGAATTCGTGGTTTTGAAAAGAAGAGGATGTTGTTTTTATATCCTTCTCAGTAATTGCAATTCTGATTAATTATGCTATTCTGGATGAAGCAAATAGTCATGAAAGTATTGTGAAATAGCAAACACCTATAATAGAGGACTTAGCGCTCTGATGGTCACAGTGACCCAGACATGAATTCATTTTCAGTAAGAAGAAAAAAAGGATTTAAAGTTCCCTTGGCAATTAGTTCAAACTACATGCTAACCTAAGTAAGCCAGGCTGGGAAAAAAATATATTTCCTTCACATGTGGAAGGTAGAACATACATACATACATTCAAACAGACAGACAGACAGACAGACAGACATATGTCATGAGAGCAGAAGCATGAGCATTTAAGGACAGACAAGGAAAGAGTCGAGGGTAGGGTTGGATAAGAGAATATTCATGAATGTGAACAAAGTACAACAAGACGCATATTTGAAAATGTCACAATGAAGTTCATTCAACTTTATAGTTGAGCGACAGTCCAACTCCTGTTCTATGCATTTTGTATATATTAACCAGATTAACCCTAATGGCATTCCTAATCAATAAAAACTTGCTTCTAATTGAGAAAGCTATAGCATGTGATTGGTTCTCAGTTACCTGTGTCATCATTGACAGAGTCAAGGTGAACTCTCAGCTACTATGTTAACATGGGGCATATTCTCAACTTCCCACTTCTGGCTTCATCACATCCTAGGAAAACATTTCTGTATTTGCATGTGTGGCCTGATCCAGACATTGTTCATGGAATTTAATTTTATATAAACAGGAAACATATTTCTACAAACTGTCTTAACACTGTTACATTAAAACTATTTTTACTCAGGAAATACTAAGTGTTATGCTTTTCATGATATATGATCATGAAATAGTATAATTTATATTCGAACACAGCATGTTAAGGTATAAAGAACACTAGTCTCAGGAAAAGAATGTCTCCTATTCTGATGTTTTAGTATGTGATCCCATGAAACGTACATTAAAAAATAATTCACCACTCTATTAGGATCCATTCATAGATGTATTAGCAAGGCCAATTATTTATACATAGAATTGTTGTAATAAAGCATTAAACAAATACCATTTGTGAAGTTGACACATGAACATTAACAGGTTAGATCATGCTTAGCTTGATACTGAACTCCAAAATATTACATCCCTCAAATGACCAATTTATGCTCTAGCTCCATCTGTTGTTGATTTTAAAAAGGTAAGTAAATAAAATATGACATAGCACAAAAGTCCCCATTTTACTACAGTGGAGCCAATACCATTTTATTGTTTGCAGTAAACCACAGTGTCCAATGTAGTGTATCAGCTGAATCCTGTAAACTTCCTTAACTTTTTCCATATTTGATTAATAGTTTCTAGCTAGCGACACAAATAAATATTAAGGGGTTGATTATACAGAAGATGTAAGCAAGAACCAAATAAGCAAAATTAAATGCTCTACTGCCTCTGCTCAGAATCCTAATGAGAAGGGCAGGAGAAATTCAGGTTCTATTTCTCTATTGACAAAAGTTTCATTTTGTGGACTACTTTAAAAGAAAAATGGAAAGGTGTATTGAGAATGGGAATGGGATTTATGTAGACAGAAGAATATCAAATATAGAGATTTTAAATAGAATCTAATATTAACCTGAAGTATATGAACTCAAATGTAAGATGGGTGAAGCATCATGTTTCTACATATTTTGATCAGAATTATCGCAGAGGAGCTTGAGGTCAAAAATTGAATATTTCAACTTATTTAGAAAAATAGCTATTAGAAGAAGAAGGATTATTTTCTTTTTAATTTCATTTTTTTAATCTCCAAATTTTATCTCCCTCATGATCCACCCTCTGACTGTTTCACATCCCATACCTCCTTTACCCCCACTATCTCCATGATGATGTTTCCCACACTCACCAGCCCACCAGACTCCATTCCCTGGGACCTCTGATGCATCTTCTCTGATGGAACCCAGACCCCGGCAGTCCTCCTCTATGTATGTGTTGGGGCCTAATATTAACTGGTGTATGCTGCCTGGTTGGTGGTCCAGTGTCTGAGAGAGCTTGGCGTCCAGGTTGAGACTGCTGTTCCTCCTACAGGGTGACGTTTCAAAGAAAATTTACAACCTACATATCCATCATCCCTGCTTAGTCTAGTCTTATAACAAAGTCGGTTCAAACTTTTATCATAAAAAAAATTTCACATTTCTAATACTTACCATAGTTAACCAATTACCACCATCATAGCCCAACTCTCTACTTCTGTCAGGAATAAGCTCACTGGTGTGATATTTTCCACTTATTTACACCCACTTCCTTCCATTAGTGTTAAATGATGACTAGAATTAGAGACAGGTATTTTTTTCTTCTCCCCACTGAACCTAAATAAGCATCTCAACCTTGAATAGGTGAACCTAACCTCATTGTTGTAATGTATAACATTACAATATAAATATAAATATAAACAGCTTGCCATGTGTAGAGATTCAGTGTTATGGATTTCTGGTTCTGCAGGACGTTTGCAAGGAACATTTTTTTTTGATCTGAGCATTGGTTCACTCGGATTATTAAGAATAAAACTAACTTCCTTTTAAAAATAAATCTAGTCTAAACTATGTAAGAAAGCAGTTAATTTTCTTATACTGGTTCCCTGGAAATTCCTCATGTACATTTTGTCTGCATCAAAAATACCAGATGTCGTGTGCCTGTGTTTTTTGAGAAACTCTAATCTTTAATATTTCTTTATGATTCATGAGTCGAGGAGCTGAAGACAAAGAAAAACTACATTAGTATGTATATGCATGTGTATTCAACATAAAGTGTTTACAGACTGAAACCAAAAGGAATATCAAAGAATCTATATTAGTGAAAAGGCAAATAACAATACCTGCAAACAACTGTCAACTGTTTTAATATTACCTATGGAATTGTCGTTGAATAACATCAGTGGAGAAACCCAAACTTTCTTCATTCAAGCAATCAACAAACATACGTTACAATGGCAAAAACTTTAATTTGATAAACAAACAAGCAAAACAAAATAAACAACACTCCCACTCAAAAAAAAAAAAAACCTGTATTACAACTCAGAACATATGGTAAAATAAATTTAATGATTTCTTTACAATATTTTAATTGAGATATATCTTTGCATATTTGTAAAATCTAATGTGATTTTTAATTCATAAACCCATTGGACAGTGATTAATGCAGAGTATTTAGCTGTAAGAGCTAAAGTATAGGACGTTGAGAACTACTGAGTGCTCACAGCATTTTGGTAGTGGTCTTTAGAAACATAGAAATTAACCCATAACATGTTTCTAAAGTCTACTTAATATAGTCGCCGACCTTTGTACACCACAGCATTGCAACCCATTTGCTAGACTGTGAAGAATGCAGAACTTGGCTAAAACAAAAAACCCTACAAAATTCTGTTCTGTCTTTGTTTCTAAAAATTGTTTTCACTGGCTATGTGACCTTTTTGATACTGAGTTTTCTTCTCTCAACTCCAATAATTGTAATATGGTTTATTATTTTGCTTACATAATCAATGAGATTATGCATAAATCTCATCATATTTAATAATAATTTAAAGAATTGTTGGTGTCCAACTGTATGTTGGCACAACTCTATGATATGCTCCATGGTAGAAGAGTAAGATACACATAGTCTATAATATGTATTCAACTAAATCATTTTAGAACTTTTAGAATTTACTTGTTTTGCATGAAATACAACCAGTTATTAGAGAAGAGAGTGATGTTACCAGTGACAAAGGATCTCAATCCCACCTAAAGTGGGGTGATAACCAAACGATGACCCATGGAGAGGGACTGCATTAAACATTCTTCAGGAAACTGAATGCCTGTAGTAAGACAATGAGATGATTTATATTGCAAAATAGGACAGATACTGCAAAAGAAGCAATGACCTTTTTAATAATTATATAATCTTAGATAGTTTTTATTTATTTATTTTTTTTATTGGATGATTTATTTACATTTCCTATGTTGTCCCCTTATCCCATCCCCCACC